CAAAAATTTTCGAACAAACGAACGAACGTTCGTCAATTTTTGAAGCGCCCACGAACGAACGAACAGAGTCGGTGTTCGTTGACACCTTTATTTCTGATTAAAAAAAAATGTGTCTCATTTTTAGTTTTGAAAAATGCTTGTATTTATTAAACAATTTCAGGCCATTTCAGCAATTGCGACCAATATTGCAATAAAAAAAATCCAATAAATCTAATTTGTGACATTTGTTTCTACAATCTACATTTTTACCCGGGGGTAAATCAGAAAAATTTCTTCTAGGCAAAACCGTAACCCCCCCCCCCAGCACGCACGTCTGGGCTTCCATATCTAAATATGCATATTTCGAAATCTACACCAATGAAAACTGATGATATTTTATCCTTGAAAATTACGTAATTTCAACTTTTTTCAAATTAATTTTGCTTGAAATACATTTAGTTGGTTTTATTTTTGGATGTAAATTATTTTTAAAGCAGGGAATACAGTCTAAAAAGAATTTTCCGGCTATTTTATTGGAATATTGTAGGTATGGCCCAGATAAAAATAAACAAAATTGACGTAATACTACATTTTTGTTTGGAAACTTTATTCCGAATGCATTTTTTGAACGTTTTTACCTTCTGAGGCTCATTATTTGATAGTCAATTAAAGTATAAACTTGAAACATAAAAACTCGACGTGCAGATTTTTACGTCTTGCAATTTTTTTCTAACATTTGTTCCATTTCAAGGTCTCTGTACGCCGTTAGCTCTAATTTGGGTCGCTTTGGAATAAATATTAAAGAGGGAGGCAGCGGAATATATGTGGAATGGGTATTGGACGGTGAAGCTTTATTCATAGGTGATCGTATAATTGAATGCAACGGAAAACCTATAGATTCTCAATCAAAGGAAGAAATTCAAAAATTGATGGATTTAAGCGGAAGATGTCAATTGGTAGTAATACGTATTAATAAGCAACAGAATAATCAAATGTTATTACAGTCTCAACAAGACAATCAACGGTTGCAACATCGCATCTCATACTTGGAGGATCAAGTACGAGATATGATTAACCAAAATAGCAGAAGAACAAATCAAAAGATCATGAAAAGAGACCATGTTACAAGCATCAACATATCTTCAAGTCCTCAAGATAATGAAGGGGCTCAAGTATTCCAAAGAGGCAACTTTATTGCGACTATCATCGGGGGAAAAGCGATACAAACTACTCATTCTGTTTCATCGAATGGTAGCGCAACTTACCGTCCTCAACGTAACACCCTTCAGCACAGTCATTCCCAACAGTATATTGGGGCGAACAGTAAAATAATTGAAACATCACTGAAAAGTTCACAAAATTTGAAGGACAAACATGTTCGCGATCATCGTAAGGAAAACCATAGATCACAGCCTGATTTGTTTTATGATGAAGTATGTTTCTAATTTTATCAAATTGTTTCAAAATTCTGTAGAAAATGAATAATTTCAGGAAAAGTTGAGGTCTGGTCATCAAAGATATAAAAAAGATCTTCAAGATCTCCGTAATGCAAGAAGTTTGGAATTTGATAGCGAAGAACCAAAGCAAAACAATGTAATGATTCCAAAACATCCATCAGTACGCCGTGAAATAGATTATACATCGGAGCCAGTTGCAACACCTTTATCAAACAGTGGGTCACGAACACGCAATGGTCGTCCAACTCCCCCCAAGAAACCACTTCGTCTTTCACTTCAAGGTATTCAAAGAACGCAAAGTTTACAGACTATTGAAGCAAACGCTACAGCCACAATCCTAGATTTGGAGAAGAAACGGTCTCTCAAGCGCACGCATCGGGGAAACAAAACCCCCGATAATGATGGTGAAACCAATTCATTATTTATAGCGTCTCTCGGTAGAAACAAATATATTGAAAAAACACCAAATAGTCACATCAACTAAAAATATTTCCACTTAACATGTTCATAAAGAGATATGTCAATGTACAGTAGAATCTTGAAAGTTAACTCACACAAATACACAAAAGTTAATTTTCCAGAAAATTTAAGTAAATATTGTGACTTCGAAAATGTTTCATAAAGGGGGAAGGAGTACTATTGGTTTATGAAAAAAAAAATTCGGTCTAAAAATGTTCAAAAATCAAATTACACAAATGTCACAGGATTGATGAAAAATTAGGTGTTTTTAAAATTTAAAGGAAAAGTAATTTTTCGAAAAAAGTTAATTTGGATGTTTGTTGCTGAGCACAAAAATGGGAATACAGATCTGTTCGAGAAAGAACGGAATATTGCTACTGTATTAATACTGTTTCTCAATATGGGAGTGTTCTTGAGGATTTTTGAAAAAACTGGAAACCCAAAGAAAATACATATGAAACCCAAAATTCAAAATCCAAAACCTAAGAAAATCCTTGAAAATTCCCGATAAGTTTGCACAAAAACACACTCTCATATTAGAGACATGATAGTTAGTTTTCAATATGAATTTGGACCGCGCTTAAACGTACACATACAAAAAACGGACACCACTAAATTTTTTTATTTAATAATTTATTTATGTATATTGTATATATTTTATAACCTGGAAAAAGAGAAATGGTAGATTTTAAATTAAAGAGAAAAGAATTCTGTATCAATTAATGCTCTCACAATTCGAAGTAGGCAAACCGTCAGAAGTAGTACGGCAAAATAACAAATTGCCGAAGTAATTTTTTCATTGGAGGTAAAATGTTGAATTACCATCAATGTTTTATTCGGTAGATAAATTTGAATTCAGTGGAAAAAAGCCGCTAATAGGGCATTTGAAGAGTGATAAAAACACCAAATACGTATAATTATTGAGAAATAAATCTTTTTGATTGTTTTTATTAAATTTTCATCAAATGTGTTGCAGCAG